GCCTTCAGCTCCAGGGCGGTGTCTGTCTGTGGTCTGTGGGGCTGCCTGTGGGGACAGAGGCTGGCTAGGAGCCTCCTGCACCAGCCAGAGGCAGGGGACCTGAGGCTGGACCCAGCAGCGGACAAAGAGGACCAGTGGAAGGCCGACAGCCAGAACCCAAAGGCAGCCCCTGGAAGACTTTCCTGGCCAGGCAGGCCGGTGACCTGAGCTCCCCTCCCCTCGGGGACTCTGGGGCCATGTGGTGACCACCACACAGAGGAGTCACAGGGGAGGAGAGGGGGCTTGGGCACTGGTCGCCATGACCAGGCTGCCCATGCGGTCTCCAGGCAGTGAGTGTGCCCTATCAACGGTGAGACGGTTTGGGTGCAGCACAGGCCATCAGCAAGCGCTCCGCAGACGTCTGTCCGCGGCGGTGGCGGTGGCTGAGCCAGGGCAACCTGCCCCGCTTTCAGGCTCTGGAGAGCGCCCTCTACCCCTTTGTTCGGCACGTGTGAGGTCAGCACCTGGTGTGAGCCCCACCTTGCTCCAAGCCAAAGCCAGCCCGGGTGTGGTCAGGTCGATTCCAGCCCGTGGAGACGCCATGTGTTACTGAGGAGAAAGGCCCCAGTGGGCTTTCCCAGCTGTCGTCTTTGTGCAGGTAGACCCCAGGTCTTTCTTCTGTAGCACCCCTGGGTGGTTCACACCACCAACCTTCAGTATTAACCTCAAATAGTGAAGCACAAAGTGTTTGTGCCCCGCAGGGTCCTGGCCTTAGACCAGGCTCTAGAAATCCCCAGAAGGAAAGGCAGCCTGCGCCCCTGTCCCCACGGACATGCCGCCTTGCCTGAGACCAGGTTTGCCTGGGAGGCTGTGAAACCAACACCCAGGTCACCTACAGATGGACTGAACCGAGGCCCCTCGGGGGAGGGACAGCTAGGCTCCCAGACGACTGCAGTGAGATCAAGGGGGGATGCAGAGGGGAGGGGCCCACAGAGGGCAGGAAATGGGGGCACACAGCCACACTCCAGGAGGGGCCGTGGCAGGCTCCCAGAGAAAATGAGTCTAACATTTTAAATAAGTTTGATAACAACATGGTTAGGTTCCAAAGACCAGGTCAGTTCGGGTAACCATCTTTACGCGAGGGAGTGGGGGCTGGGCCCATCCTCAGGGTTGATGCCTCCCACCCCTGCCCCTCAGTCACCCGGTGGGCACCTCTGGCATGTCTCCAGATGTGGATGAGTGTGTTGAGGTGGGCTCCCCTTCCCCACCATGACATCCCCCCCATCATGGAGCCTGTGAAGGTTGGGGTGGGGGTTGGTGTTGCCCACCGCCTCCTGCCACCACCCTGGGCAGAGACCCCGCGTGTCCTTGGTCCTTGGCCTTGTCGCCCCGCTTGGCCCTCTTCCCTCTCCCCTGCTTCCTTCCTGCATTCCCCTACCCACTTGCCCTGCACATCCACCCCTTGGTCCACCGCCCTGCCCCTGGCTGCCAGCAAACCCGCACGGTCCCACTGTCACTCCATACCCTCCATGGCCAGACGGAGGTGTCATGGACAAATGGGAGAAGGTGTCCCATGGCCGATCGGCCGCTGTCCCTCATGTGGCCTGGTTGTTGCCAGGGCCTCTGGTAACTCATTCAGCGTGGCCCAAGGAGGGCGCCCGGACCCTCGTGGAACCCAGGCCATTGGAGGTCCCACCTGAGAATATTTTCAAAGTCGTCGTAAAAGTGAAATTTCAGATCATGAGAGAACCGATCTGTGAGGAGCAGGCGTGGACCATTATACTACATTGTTGTATGTTGTGTTGCTGTTAGGTGCCACCGAGTCATCTCCGACCCATAGCGACCCTATGCACAGCAGGAAACACCTTTGTATATATTTGACGTAATTTAATATTGTTGTTGTTGTTGTTGTTATGTGCCGTCGAGTCGGCCTGACTCATAGCAACCCCTCCTTGGGTTTCCGAGGCAGTATCACTACGGAAGTAGGATTGCCCAACCTTCCTTCCGAGGAGTGGCTGGTGGGTTTGAACCGCCAGCCTTCTGGTTAGCAGTCAAGTGCTTTTAGCCACTATGCTATATAAACGGCTTTTAATAATAAAATGTAGCACAAGTGATGCCAGCCTGGTGAGGGGAGGACAAGGGCTGCAGGCACCCGGACAGGCACGGGCAGCCTCCTCCAGGCCCTCACTTCCTGGTCGGCCCACCCACCCCTCACACACCCCTCAGCAAACCCTGTAATGTGCTCTTCAGTAAACACTCGCTCCCTAGGAGGGCGTCCCAGGACCCCCCAGACCACAGCAGAGGGGTTCACTCTAGTGGTTGTGGAGCGCCATCTGGTGGCCAGGGGCGGGCCCCACTCCCACCGCCTCCAGGTGTCCTACCCTTTGGTGATGGGGTTCCCAGCATAGCAGGGCCTGGGGGGGCCTGGAAAGCAAGGTCACACTGGCTTCCACAGCCCCCTCACCTGGGGATGACCAGTGAAACTGTCCAATCTTACTAGCCATCGAAAACTGCAATGAGCAAAGCAATAAGCTGTTGATTTTCACCCATGAAACTGTCCAGTGTTAGAAAAAAACGGAGAAAGGGTCCTGTCCTGAGCTGTCACCACCTTCAGTTTCTCTGGACAACAAGGACCAGAAGGAGCATCTATTTAGTACAGACACATGGGAGGCTTCTGCTAGAAATGTTGTGAGGTGCGTTGAGTCCGCCTCCCACCCCACTCCGGGTCCTGAGCCGTCCCTTGACCCCGTGCGCACGCTGTGACACATGCAGGGCTTGGAACCAGTTCGTTCCAGTCCACCCCTGCTGGGAATCCGCATTTCCAGCCCAGATGTCCAAGATCCCGAGGTGGCTCTTACAGTGCAGGGACACATAGTGGTCGCCTGGGAATCTTGGGGCCCCCTCAGGATGGCTGCCCAGCCCCTCAGTAGAGCAGGGATTGTGAGGACGGCCCAGGCAGTGTTTCCCTCTGTCACAGAGAAGGTCACTATGAGCCGGAGGTGACTCGAGGCACCTACAACAACAGGGGTCTTGTTAAAAGGTTGGTTCCAAGTTCTCAGCAGAGGACTGAACTGGTTTGAAGCCCTGGAGCCACGGGCTCATTGGCTGCTTTTCATCCCCGGCCTTTGCCCCGAGTGCGTCTTAGTCTGCACGCTCCGCTGACCCTGCTCGTCGCAGCCTCACTCAAGCCTCCACTGACAAGGGGGTGCAGGCCGTGCGTGAGGTGCAGTTGTCTGCCGTGGAAAGCAGGCCTGCCACGTGGAGGGTGGGATCTGCCCCCTGCCACCACTGCCCCTCCGATGGAGCAAGCCCCGGGAAAGGGTGATTCCCCAGGAGAAGCTGAGCTTCCTTCGCCCAAAGCCCAGCACAGGTACAGGACGCCTCAGGGCCCACAGGTCATGGCAGCAGCCTGGTTAGCATGAGGCAAAGAGGGCTTATCACAAAGGAGCTCACTGCAAAGGCATGACCGGAGCACAGAGGCCACAGAGCCGGGAGCCCAGGGCTCGCAGTGATGGGGTGAGCCTGCCTGGTGGGGAAAGCGGTTGAGAAGACATCCTGAGATGGCCCCTAGAGGGAACCCAACCGGTGCCTGGCCTCTGTGTCCCCAGACACCTGAGGTCCACGCTCAGAGTCCGGTCGATGTTCCTCAGAGAAGATGGAGAAGAATGGACTGGGAGCAACCGGAAGCCCCAAGGAATCCCCTGAGGGACTGCACAGGCCTCTGGGTTCTGGAGGCTGACGAGTCCAGGTCCAAGGCCAGGACCTTCCCTTTGTGCCCACATCCATCCCGCGGCAGACAGAGTGAAGCCACCTGCTCCAGGTGGGCCGCAATGTTCCCGATATGCAGTCTGTCCCTGCTTGGCACAGTCTCCGAGTCTAACCTCACCCCGAACATGGCCACATTCAAAACGCCTTCAGCCTGCCAGCTCAGGTGTCAAGAGACCCAACAGCAAGAAGTCCTCTGGGGCTGACCTTCCAGACAGTGGCATGGCCCTCTCGGTAATGGCAGGTGGATGAGAGATGAACAGATTAGCCCCTGGTGGCTCAAACAGTTCATGGCTGCTAATCACAAAGTGGGAGGTTCGAGTGCACCCAGGACACCTCGGAAGAAAGCCCTGGTGGTCAGCTTCCAAAAGCATCACCCACTGAAAGCCCCACGGAGCCTGCTCTGCTCCGACGCAGGGGCTCACGAGTCAGACTCAACGCCAGGACAACTGGAACTGCTCCCGTCCAGAGAAGTGTCCTCTGGGCCACTTAGTCACTGCCAGTCACACAGCCACCCCTGACTCATTTAACAAGAGCCCCCCTGAGATGTAGGGACCAGCCCGTGATCACACCACCAGGGCCCGAGTCAACCCGACCTCACAAACGCACCGCAACCCAGATGAGAGGACGGTGTTTAATCTCACAAGCTGTGTAGCTGACACCCCAGCAGGAAGTCAGTCTTCAAAGTCCTGGGGGTTCACAGCCAGGGAGAAGAGCAGGAGGCAGGCGGCTGGCACCCCTGCTGCCCCCATCAGACGCCATCCTTCCTAGAGGACTTCACAGAGATCCAAAGGCCCCGGACCCAGCCCCGTGGCTGCGTTTCTCCCTGGCACTGCCCCCCACCTCCCAGAAGCAGGTGGGCCTAGCCCCTGCCCAGCACCAGGAGCCAGGCGCCTGTCCCCCCGTCGTAATGACCAAAGTCCTTTCCAATCCGTGCTCCTCTCCCGCCGCTCCATTCCTCCGCATCCCGCGGCGAGGCAGCTGAGGTGGGCAGCATCCAGGCGTCCAGTGAGCAGGCAGCCGGCCAGTGCCCCGGAATCAGACAGGGCTCCTCTTGCCGAGCCCTGAGGGGGTGAAGCCAGTACCCCTCTGGGAGCCGTTTGACACAGATGTCCCTGCAACTCTGGGAAGTGGCCTTGCACAGATGCCAGCTCTGCGGTCCTGACAGTGAGTCAGGACATCAGTGGCTCCCTCAGGACCGGGCAGGGACCTGGCTGCTGGGTGTCCCTCCCGCGGCCCTCCTGAAACGGCTGCTTCTAGCGGGCACAGCATTTGGCCTGCCGGGGGGGCCCTTCATTCAGAGTCACCCTGGGGGTCCCCCTCTGAGTCTGGTCCACCCTCTCCTCTTCTCTTTGCAGTAGCTCCCGTGCTGTTCAAGGCAGAGAGGGGGAGAGTTAGGTGGGAAGGGGTGGGTCCCCTGCCCAGCATGCGTCCTGCAGGCTATGGCAGCCCTGGGGACACCCCCTCCCCAACACTGACCCAGAGCCATCAAACAGGGGCTCCGTGCCTCTCTGGCTCACCTCTGCGTCCCTAGAAACAGTCTGTTGAGTCCCAGGACACCAGAAGAGAAGGCCCCATGCAGAAGGCCGGGGGCTAAGCTGTGCTCTGCCCTGCACCACCCCCCACTCACCCTCAGCAGTGAGGGCCTCCCTGTGCCAGCCCCCCACTCACCCTCAGCAGTGAAGGCCTCGGTGACCTGGTGGTTCAGTTTGGCAGAGGCTTCCGCAAACAGCAGCCTTCTACTCTCTGCAAACTCCTTCCCCTCCTGAGGGAACAGCCAGGAAAAGCCAGGGTGACTTCTGGGAAGAGGCTTCTTCCTTCTGTCGGGATTGCCCCCCACAGAGACAGGAGGGAGGTGTTTGCCATGTAATCTGTTAACATGAGGCCCTGCGGGGACAGGTGGATCCTAACCCATCTGAGCGGTGTCCTTACCAAAGAGAAGAGATGGAGAGACAGAGGTAGAGGGACGAGGGGTGTGAAAAGGGAGCTGGAGATGACAGTGTGCAGACCAAGAAGTGAGGAGGCACAAGCAGGGGCGGGGAGACCCCTTCCTCCAGGGAGCCCACCTGGTTTAACACACAGGTCAGGCCTGTGTAGAGAAGTGGGTGTCAGGGGCCAGGGCAGGTATGGGGCCCAGGAGGTCCCCATGCTCCCTGGAAGGCAGGGGCTACACCCTAAAACGGTGTGAGTGAAGAATGGCCACCTCAGCCCTCTAGGATCCCCTCCCCTGTCCCACAGTCCTGGTGGCTGGTCCCTTACTCTTTCCTCCTTCACAGCCTTTTCCCAAAACATAGCCCCCACCTGCCCTCTCTTCTCCTCCCGCCAGCTGCCCTGGGCCCCTGGGTTTACTATGCCCACCTGTGCTCAGCGCCACCAGGTGGCGCCCTCAGGGCACAGCTCCGTGGGCCAGGGACTCCTAAGCCCTCCTTCCTCCCCAGGGACAGCCATATGCAATGATGGCCCCAACAGTACCACCAGCACCCAGCAAGGGCTCGCACACCATTCCCCGTTCTGCCCCTCTGCCTCTCCCCAGATTCCTCCAACTTCTCCCTCCAAGGACTCTCCGTCTCCGGGATCTGGCCTGGTGTCCACAGGGGCTCTCTCACCGCTTTGTGGCCCTCCTCCGGTGTGCAGAGGGAAGGAAAAGGCCTCCGAGGGTGGGCAAGCCACAACCACAGAGTAGAAAGCAGCCCCCCCCCCAGGACGAGGCCTCATTCATCCGTGGGGAGGGTCCATCTTTAAGGAGGCCCCTGTGGTCCTGAGGGGCAGGGGGAGACCTATGGAAGAACTGAGCCACCTTAAGGAACCAGACTTCCAAAGCCCGGGCCTGAGCCAGGAGCCGCTGCCAGGAGACATGCCTGTGGGGTTGGCACACCCCTAGAGGGCAGTGCACAGTGGGGGGAAGAAGAGGGGCAGCCTGGATGGCAGGTGGAGACTGAGCTGCCCCCACGAGAGCCACTTGGAGGTCTGGGCTGGGCCTGGACAAGGGACGGACATTGGCCACGAGGGAGGAGGAGGCCCAGGGGGCAGTGACCAGGAGGCTCAGGAGGCTGAGGCCTCAAGGAGAAAGTGCAAGGAGGGGACATTTGCTGGGCTGGCCGCGATGTCGCCCCAGATGCTCTCAACCTCTGGAAGAGCCTGCTTCTTCCACGCAGCCTGGGCTGCTGGCCCGCTGGGAGACTGAGGAGAAGCAGCTGGCCCTAGCTTGGATGACATCCGGTGGAGAGAGACCAGCCACAGGAGCTAACGTGGGTGCAAGAGTGGACATCAGAGCATCGGGAAAGGAGAAGACACAACACCTGCAAGTTCCAGGCAGCCGCGGGGCTCTGTGCTTACCCGAGACGCATGCCACCACTGTTCAGTTGCATTTTAAGGAGCAAGGTGGCCCAGTGGGGCTGGAGTACTCGGTGCCCTCCCGTAGCACATACCTGGGTGACGTGAATGAAGCCCAAATACCCCCTCTGGGCACCAGAATGTGGGTCCCAGGTGAGGTTATTGAAAGGGGGTGTCCCCAGGTCCAGTGGGCCCCAGGGGAGTCCACTGTCATCTCACCACGTGGGCATGAGCACGTTTTTCCATTCATTCTCCAGTGAAGCCTCTTGGGGGAGAGGGCTGATTCCAGGGCTGCCACAGAGAAAGTACTGGAGGAGCCTGGAACACCTTTCCATGCCAGAAGTAAGGATGTGCTCAACGGGTGATGGGGCCAGGTGGAAGCACCACCCCTGGCCAGAGCCAGGACCAAAGTTTCCTGAGCCAGGGGGAGGATGTGGGAAGAGTGCCCGGGGGACCGGGTCTACGGAGCAGCTGTCTGTCGGCCCGTGTGTCACATCCTGACTTTGATCGCTGCTCGGGCTTCTGTGAGATGTAATGTTGGGGCAGGCTTGGGGAAGGGCAGTTTGGGGTATTATTTTTGCAACATTCTTGTAATTCTGACACTATTCCAAAATGAAAAGTCAAAAATATTTTTAAATCGACTACCTGCATCTCAGGCTCAGCCTGCCCTAGATGAGACCACTGCCTGGCTCCCAGGTGAGGTGATGGGGTCTGCGGCACCTGGCTCCTGACAATCAAGGCCTGGGCCATTCTTGATGGAGAAGCCAGAGTGAGGGAGGAAGGCAGAGCCGTGGCCTGGGATCTGTGGGGGCAGCGGGAGCCCGCTGGTCATCAGGGTGGTCTACAGCCCAGGCTTCCGGGTGGCCCCTTTGCTGGAGTCTAAGCCACAAGGACTTCCTGCCTGGGGCAGCCTGACAGGGGAAGCAGAGGCAGGAGATGTCACACACACCCCCCCAAGGCTCATCACCTGCCCCGGCTGGGGTGCTTCCCCCGCTACGGTCCGCCACCCGGCCTCTTGTCTCTGCAGCCCATGTCCTGCTATGTGTGTGGTGTGCGCTCATGCGTGTCTGAGCCCACCTGTCGACAGGTCCTCAGCCAAGGACGGAGGGCTTGCTGCTTCCCCCCGCTGGGACGTGGTGACACGGCCCCGGGGACACACCTCGAAGGTCACCTGACGCTCCTTGTCAAGGTCTGTCTTGTTGCCGATCAGCATCACCACCACCTCTCCCGGCAGGAACTCGGCCTCCAGGTCCCTCAGCCACTGTTGAGCCCTGAGGAAGGAACCCTGCAGAAGGGTTTTCAAACGTCAGGTGGTCCTCATGAGCTCTGCCAGGAAGAAGGAAGGAGTGTGCCTGTCACCCACGTACACTGTCCCAGGATCCAGTTCTGAGGAACAGGAACCAGGCCTCTCTCCGGCTTTTCATGGCAAGCTGCTGGGCACAGGTCAGCTCCTTGAACTCACCCTCCCTCCCCCCAGGGCCCAGGAGAAGAAGGTCTCAGGGTCTTTGGGGCCAGACCTCCAGCTCCAGGGGCCCCCAGCCCTTTGGCTAAGAGAGTTTCAGGGTGGCTAGCACCCCAAACCCACACCCTAATTGCAGTGCCCTGTGGACCAGGTAACCTGGTGGCCACTCTCCCCCTGCAGCACAGGGCGGGCAGACCAGACCCGGCTCACAGCCCTCCCACCTGGGACCCACTGTGTCACCGCCCACCTCCACATCCGGCCCCGCGCTCTCTGGCCTCCAGCGGACATGCTCGTCCCTTGTGCCAGAGCCCCTTCCCCTTCCTGCTCACCGCCACACGGCCACATCTCCAACACAGCTGGTCCCTGTCTCCCTGCCGGAAGCCCTCCCTGACCCTGCCGGCTCCGGTGCCCCCACAGCACCTGGCCTTCTCTCGTCACGCACCTGCTTACCGTGGTTAGGAGTCCCTGGGCAGTGCAAACGGCTGGTGCCCTCGGCTGCTAACTGAGAGGTAAGAGGTTCAAACCCAGCCACCGATGGTCCCTCAGAGGGAAGGCCTGGTGACCTGGTGGTGTGAAGATCACAGCCAAGAAACCCCGCAGAGCCGCTCTCCCTGTGGCCGGGGGGTGGCCGGGAGTCAAAACCAACTCGACGTGATGGCGGCTGGGATGCGGATGGTTAACGTCCTCAGCTGCTGACGGAAAGGGAGGGGGTTCAAGTGCAGCAGAAGCACCTGGAAGGGCGGCCTGATGATCTACCCCTTAAAAACCCTGCGGAGCCCAGTTCCGCTCCGACACACATCAGCACCACGCGTCGGAGTCGACGATATGGCACCTGGCTGGTGACTCGTGTTCCGCTCTCCTGGACGATGTACGAGGCGCACAGGGACTGTGTCTGCCCTGTGTCCATAATCTCCTCCTCAACAACTCGGCAGCTGTTCCTCCTCCTCAGAGAGGGACGAGGGGAGAGCTGTGTGTGGGCTGTCCTGGGGGCAGTGGAGGGACACAAACCCCAGCGAGCAGGAGGCCTTCCTGGAGGAGTGACTGGCTTGCACTGACTGGCTCTGTTGGCTGCAGTGACCTTATCATGAGGCCCCAGCACAGGCTGGGCTGTCAGGACACGACCGCACACGCCGGAGTCGCTCACCTTGCTGGTGATGTCGTACACGAGCAGCACAGAGCTGGCACCCCGGAAGTAGAGGCGGCAGACGCTATGGTACTTCTGGCCAGCCATGTCCCAGATCTCAAACTTGAGGGAGGCGCCCCCCACGTGCACCATCTTTGTGAAGAAGGCACCTGAAACGAGGGAGCCGGGAGCTGCATTGACACGATGTTTTTATCCACAGCTCGGATTGGACCACCTCGAGCCCTGGTTCAGCAAACCTGCTCCCCGCTGCTCACGCACTGGGATTTTCATAGCCATTAAGGCAGAGGGAGGGAGCCCTGGTAGCACAGCAGTTTAACGTTTAGCTCCTGACTGAATGCCTGGTGGTTCAAACCCACCAGCAACTGTGAGAGAAAGATGAGACAGTCTGCTTCTGTGGAGACTGACAGCCTTGGAGACCCTGTGGGCAGTTCCACTCTGTCCTCTAGAGGTGCTGTGGGTCAGAATGGACTCCAGGGCAGTGGGTGTGGTTTGGGCTTTGCTTCTGTGAAGATTGACAGCCTTGGAGACCCTGTGGGCAGTTCCCCTCTGTCCTCTAGGGGCGCTGTGGGTCAGAATGGACTCCAGGGCAGTGGGTGTGGTTTGGGCTTTGCTTCTGTGAAGATTGACAGCTTCACAGACCCTGTGGGCAGTTCCACTCTGTCCTCTAGGGGCACTGTGGGTGAGAATGGACTCCACGGCAGTGGGTGTGGTTTGGGTTTTGCTTCTGTAAAGATGACAGCCTAGGAAAGCCTATGGGGCAATTCTACTCTATCCTCTAGGGGCGCTGTGGGTCAAAATCGACTCCATGGCAGTGGGTAAAGCAGAGAGTTAGAAATGATTTGTCATAGATCTGTTGTCAACTTCTCCAAGGCTTTGGGCAGGAAGATAGGGACCTAACTCAGCAACCTGTGTCCCAGTACTAGAAAGGGGACAACCAGAACACAAAGAGAAAGTTGACACACTGTGACAAGTGGAACCAATGTCACTCAACGATTTGTATAGAAATCATCAAATGGGAACTTAATGTACTGTGCAAACTGTCAGCCAATGCACAATACAATATTATTTTAAAGAGACAAATCTGTGGGCTGCGCAGCCATGGAGCCCTCAATATGTCCACCCCCAGCCATGTGGCCGCCGGACCGATCACCCCAGCCCCTCCTCCCATCCCTCTGGGCCTCACCACGACCCTGCCTTCCTCTTGGAAGGCCTCGTTCCTCTTCCCCACCTAGGAAACCCCTACACATCCCCTCAGTCTCCTAGTGGTACCTACAAGGACGCTGCTCACCCAGTGCCCTTCCCTGAGGGGCATGCTGCCCTCCTGTACCCCACGCCCCCCAACACATCTCCAGTAGCTCATTTCCAAGGTTTTCAGTCCAAGCGATGGTGCCACATGAGCCCACATATGGATCATTCCAAGGCTAAAACTTGTCTCCTGGACCTGGGCTCCCACCCACAGGACAACATTTAACTTCCCTGTTTGGAAGCTCACTGGCAACATTAATCACATTTCCTAGCTGAAACAAAAGTGATTGTTTGTTTAATGCTGAAAGGGGAAATGGGCTTTGTGAGGCCAAATATGGTTATCTTGCTTCTGATTGCCCACTTCTGCTTGCTAAATCACTCTTAGGTAGCACCTGCTGGGGTGGCCTTGGAGGTCCGAAGTTCTGGAGCGGAGCCAGCCTCGTTCATCAGAGCCATAAAGACCCTGCCTCCCACCAGGGGGCGTGGAGAGTTGAACTAGTCCTGCCACCCCCCAGGACCAGCCTTGTATGTACGTTCCCCAACGAGCACCTTGCCACCACCCCTAGATGCCTAGCTTCTTCCTCGATGACTTATCTGAGGACACTGTGACTTCACGAGGTTCTTAGTTTGGAAGGTAAGTGAGATACCACCGGCAGAGCCCGGTGTGCTGTCTGGCGCCGCCCGTTCCACATGAGCCCAGCAGGTCTGGGTGTGAGTCTCGCTGGCACGCGGACATGAGCACTGAACGCCACCGTCCTGCACAATGTCGCTTTGGGTCCCCTGGGGCTGATCCCCGCCCTGCACCCGTGGGCTACTCCCAGGGAACTGCTTCCCCTCGCATCTGCCCTCGCGAGACACTGTGCCCCAGGGTGGCAGGGCCTGCCTGTTCAGCTGGCTGTAGGATCCCCCACCCCCGATGCAGGTGAGGCCCAGGCTTAGCAAGCGTCTGCTGAGTGAGTGGATGTGGAGACACGGACAGCTTCCTAGTGCAGTCAGGTTCCTGCACCAAAGCTCTTGTTCCACAGGGGAGACCCCCCACTGCTGCCCCAGGGGTCAGCACAGAGAACCCGTTTGGGTTTCCCCGTGGTAGGTGGGGACCGCGGGGTTTGCACTCCAGGCATGAGGTGTCCCAGCAGACGTCCAACGAGGTTTGCACTAAGCTGAGGCCTCTCTAAGCAGTTCAGTGAGAGGGTCTGCCCTCCCTGGTAGCCCTTCTTCCCTGGCAGCCCTTCCTCCCTGGCAGCCCTTCCTTTGCTCACCCACCCTGACCCAGGCTCAGGTGGGAAGCCGAGTGCAGGCTGAAGGGGGGTGAGCTTTAGGCACACTGGCCAAGGGAAGGTGAGCAGAGGGTCCCTTGGACGGTGAAGGGCCAGCTTGTTTGGGCATCAGTGTGGGCAGAGCCAGACCCTCTCCCACCAGCAAAACTGCTCCCCCACCCAGCCCGGGGAGCCAGGGATGCTTAGTCCCACCCCCTGCAGACCCTGCAGACCCCACCGAGAGAAGGCTGAGCTGAAGGGAAGGATGTTAGCATGTTCTTCTGGGTCCCGTGTGCCCAATGGTGATGGGCCTCATCACCATGCCCTCAACCACGTGCTGGGCATAGCTGGGTTCCAGGTGCGAGCACCAGGCACGGAATCCAAGGACAGGCCCCACAGCTCCTGCGCGAAAATGCCGTTGAGTCTGTTCTGACTCACAGCGACCGCGTGGTGTCCGAGCAGAGCGGGCGCCACAGGGATTCCAGTGGCTGATGTTGCAGAACCACATTGCCAGGCCTCTCTTCCGAGGCACCTCTGGGCAGCTCGGGCCTCCAGCCTTCCCACTGGTAACTCAGCCTTTAACCATCTGTGCCACCTGGTCCCTGTGCCGGTCTGTCACTTACATCCCACGGTGGGCAGCATGCTCCTGAAGTCATCCTTGACATACCGGAGAGCCAGGCTGGACTTGCCCACAGAGTCGCTTCCCAGGAGAACCAGCTTGAAGACACAGGGTGGGTCTGGGGCGGCCCCATGTCTCAGGGCCCTGTCCACCTGGGCCATGTGCTGCAAAGACACACACGTTTGAAGCATGTAGGTAGGTAGGTAGGAAGATCGATGATGGATCAATCGGTCAGTCGATAGATAGATGGTAGGCAGGAGGGTAGGTGGGTAGATGGATGGATGACAGGTGGGTAGGCAGGGAGGTGGGTAAGCAGGGAGGTGGTTGGCAGGGAGGTGGTTGGCAGGGAGGTGGTTGGCAGGGAGGTGGGTAGGCAGGGAGGTGGTTGGCAGGGAGGTGGTTGGCAGGGAGGTGGGTAGGCAGGGAGGTGGTTGGCAGGGAGGTGGTTGTCAGGGAGGTAAGTAGATGACAGATGTGAAAAGGCAGCCTCTCGGGAGCGTCTGGCGAGCTCTCTCGGCATCCGTGAAGTGCGGTCATTGAGCAGTCGGACCCCCCTGCAATGGGCTCCTTGGAGGCATTGCTTCCTCACCAGTGGTCTCACCCTCGGCCTCTCCTGGGAATTTTCCTGATGGTCAGCCCACATCCTCATGCAAGGGAGTCCAGCCGACCATGCCACTGGGAGGCCACACGAAGCCCCTCCCAGCCCACGAGCCCAGCAAACTCCCTCTGCCCTCATTTTGCTCCTTTGATGAGGTGCATGTGGACACCTTCGAACAAGCACACCACACACACACATACAGACACACACACTAAACATGCATACACACACCACGCACACACTACACATAGTACAGACACACACGGACACACCACACCCACCACACACACACACAGACATACTTCACACACACCACACAGACACACACTAAACATAGCACAGACACACACACCACACACAGACACACACACTACACATGCATACACATACCACACACACACTGCATATAGTACAGACACAGCACACCTACCACACACACAGACACCTCACACACACCACACAGACACACACTAAACATAGTACAGACACACACAGACACACACACTACACATGTACACACACCACACACACTACATATAGTACAGACACACCACACCCACCACACACACACAGACACACCTCACACGTACCACACAGACACACACTAAACATAGTACAGACACACACACATACAGACACACACTACACATGCATACACACACCACACACACTACATATAGTACAGACACACCACACCCACCACATACACACAGACACACCTCACACACACCACACAGACACACACTAAACATAGTACAGACACACACAGACACACCACACCCACCACACACACACAGAGACACACCTCACACACACCATACAGACACACACTAAACATAGTACAGACACACACCACATACAGACACACACTACACATGCATACACACACCACACACACTACACACAGCCCACACACCACATAGACACAGACACACATCTCACACACACCACATCTCACACACACCACACACACACACTACACACAGGCACCCCACACCTCACACACACCACACGGACACACACACTACACGTAGTACACACACACACACTCTTTCTCCCTCTACGAAGTGCTCAGAACCTAGACAGTGACTCACCGCTCTCTGGCCGGTTACTTCAGGGCACGAGCAGGTCCGCCATCACCAAGCTCTGCAGGCTGCTAGCTGTCCCGTCTGCCCTCCTGGTTTGGGAAGGGCTGTATCCCCACCCCACACAGCGGACGCCGGTCACATGAAGGTTGTGCTCTGCCAGAAAACAGCCCAGGTCAGGGAGGTCAGCACGGCCGCTGCCTCAGGCAGGTGGGGGACGGCCCGCCCACCAGAGGACAGGCCTCTGTCCTTCCGTCCCAGCTCGGGTGCGAGGTCCAACTGAGGTCACGTGCTCAGCTGGGGCCAGGCAGGGCCAGGCAGCTAGACACCTGGCACCGCGGAAGTCCCGTCCTCGCCTGCGAACCCCTTCGGTGGGTCTGTCCCCAGCCGCAAGTGTCCCAGCTTTGGCCCGGGGTCCCCCTGCACGGCTGCACCCTTTCCTGGGTCCTGGGCTCCTTCCTCAGACCTAGCTGAGTGTCCGTGGCGCTTGAAACAAACAGCGCAGAGGAGAAAACAGGACTCGGCCAAATGAATTTCCTTCTGCAAACAGCAGCCAGCCAGCTCCCGCTGACCCACACCTGGGCCTGGAGGGGACCCGGGCTGGGAGTCCGCTCAGACAGCGAGGGCCCCGGCTGGTGCCACCGGGGGCAGAGTGTATTTCTCTCAAATCCTCTCCACACTTCATCGCCCCAAACCATTCCCTGGAGCCTCAACCCTCGGGGACCGCTGTGGGGGAGGTGCCAGGAGAGGAGCCGGGACCACCTCCTTGTCCTCAAATTCTTCACAGGCCCATGGGCCTGGACTCCTTGTCTGATGGGATGGAACAGCCTCTTCAAGATAAGATGCCAGGGCCTCAGAGCACGGCCGGCCGGGCAGTGTGGCTAGAGCCGAGGGAGGTGGAACCAAGCCGGCTATGAGCTCAGACCCCAAACCCAGGCTGACAGTTTCCTCATGTTCTCTTAGCCACTAAAACCAGTTGCTCTCATTCGGCTGGTTGCTCTGAGAAGTGCGTGCTTTGCTGGTGTTACTGTTCACCTCATAGGTCGGCTGTCGTTGACTGAAAGCTCAGCCCGAGGGCGAGCCCAGTTCCAGGTTGATGGGTGACTAAGGGCCACGGAGATCAAAGGTCAGCATGTGCCCGAGAATAAAGCTCAGAAGGCAGGCGGGCAGGAAGAAGGGACACTCAGGAGGCAGTGGGCAGAGCACGTTGCATTGTGGGGGTTGTAATCAGTGTCACAAAACAAACCATGTATGCACTTTTAAGCGGAAAACCAGTTTGCTCTGTAAACTTCCACCCAAATCACAATAAATAAAAAGTCAATAAAATGACGGTAACTGCCGTTTCTGCCTCATGGCGATCTCATGTGCTCCATGAAGTTTGCAGAGACTGATGTTTGAGGGTCGATCCCAGGCCTGTCTTCGAGGGACCTGTGCCTGGCCTTGAACCTGCGCCCTCGGGTAGCAGCCAGCCCTCTCACCGTGGGCGCCGCCCAGGACCCCACCAGCATTTGTTGTTGTCCGGTGTCCTCCAGTCCGTTCTGACTCCACGCAACCCTGGGTGTGTCGGAGTAGGGTTCTCTCAGCCGCCGTCTTAAAGGAGGCAGACCACCAGATCTTCTGTGGAGCCACTGGGTGAGTTGAACCGCCAAGCGTTGGGTTAGCGGCCCAGAGCAAACCATTGGACCACCCAGGGCCCTTTAGCAGAGTGGGAGACAAGGAGGCTGAGGGGCTGGGCCAGGGGCCACTCTCCCACAGCACTGCACTGGTGCCATGTGGTCAGCTCACCTGTACAGACACACATACACACACTGAGTTGTCGGCAGAAGGGCCAAGTTACAGAACTGCCAAGTTACAGAACTTCGAGGCTGGGTTCTGCTTGGATCCACAAAATCAATGCCTGCTTGGATCCACAATGGGAGCTGCAGTCAAGAAATCGAATGATGAAGCGCGTTAGGCAAATCTGCTGCCAAAAACCTCCTTAAAGAGTTTGAAAGCAAAGACGTCACTTTGAGGACTGAGGTGTGCCTGACCCAAGCCGTGGTATTTTCCATCGTCTCGTCTGCATGTGAAAGCTGGACAATGAGAAAGGAGGACTGAAGAAGTATGGACACATTTGGGTTGTGGTGTTGATGGAGAATACTGAATGCAGTGTGGACTCCCAGAAGGACAAACAGATCTGTCCTGGAGGTACAGCCAACCTCTCAGAGGGCAGGGTGGTGAGACTCCATCTCACGTGGTTTGGACAAGTTATCAAGAAGGACCGGTCCCCACAGAAGGACGTGCTCGGTAAAACAGGGTCAGCAAGAAAGGGGAAGACCCTCCACAAGGTGGATGGACACAGGGCTGCAGCAGTGGGCTCAGACGGGGCAAGGATTGTGAGGCCGGCACACGACCGGGCAGAGTTCTGTTCCGTTGTGTGTGAGGTTGCTGTGAATCAGCATCGACTCAGTGGCCCCCAACTACAACAAGGGCTGGAAAGGCCCTTGGGATGATCGGTTGACCCTCACCCAGGGCCTGAACTATCTCTGCAAACTCCCAGCCAGCTGACTGTTCAGTCTCTGTTCATATACCTACAGTGAAATTCTGGAGGTTCTCTGCTGTCCAGCCTCACCTGAAGAAAGGTTGACCCCCTGCTCAGAAACAGTTCTGAGCCCTTCGAAGCAGTTATCAGGTCTCCCGGTGGGTCTGCCTGCCCACCCTAGATCCACGCCCCTAGATCCTTACAAAGAGGACCCCAATGGTGGTCACACTGTGCATGCCTCCACATTTCCTTCCCAGCAGGAGAGGCCAAGGACGAACGGGGCGGAAGTCAGGTGGGGTCTGAGAGGCCTCCTGGTCGTCCGCTGGGCCTCCTCGCAGGGCTGGATCTAAGGACACAGCTCACAGCTCCTCCAGACCCCTGAGCTCCCAAGGCCTTCGAGATAAACAGGAGCGGCCGTACTGTCTCTAAGTCTTCACCCTTGCTTCACTTATCTCGGTGGAAAATTCCACGGGGTTTCGGTACACCAAGTCTGATTCTTTGCTCAACAGGTCGTTTGGCAGCTGGCTGCCCACCAGGCTGGACAGAGCAGAGAAGGGCAAAGGAAATTAATCAGAGTCCTGCCCTGAGGGGTCGGCACCCGCCAGGGGCACGACAGGCTCTCAGCCCAGAGACAGAGGACAAAGCCCACAGGCAAGGAAGGAGACTGGCTAACACTGAAGGAGGAAAGGGGAGGGCCCAAGAAGATGGTCCAAGGGGGAAATGCTGACACAGGCAGAGAAACCCGCCCCTGCCTGGGAGGGGGAGGAGCTTCCCTAGCCCCGGAGCCCTGTGAGCCCAGGTGAGGCCTGCAATGGTGGGGAAACGGGGCGGCGAGGGGCTCAGGGCCGTGGTGAGGCCTCAGGACACTGTGCATAGGGCCTGTGGTGGGTGGGGACGGGGTGGGGGAGGTGAGAAGGAGCCCCGGGCCTACCGGCCTAGTCCAATTCAGTAAGGCCT